GCTCGATGGGTGGAGAGGTCCCCTCCCTTCTTTGCCAAGAACTAGTGAATGAGGATTTTCTCATCCACTAGTTCCCAGACATGTGTGGGCTCTGGATGTTAAAAAGATGCAGGATTTTGGCTACGTGTTGGTTGTATGCAATGCTGAAATGAATTCCTGTGAGCTCAGTTATATTTCTCTTGTTGTTTAGTTTAAAACATTGTGACAGTCTGATCCGTTATTAGTCTAGTAGGGGCAGTCTTCAGCGATTTGAGCTGGGTGCAATCTCGGACATGAGTACCTAAGCAGAAATTACCTGTCTTTCAAAGTGTTGAACACACCATTCTCATAGATTGCTAGGTGTTTTAACACAAATGCCAGAAGGAGTCTCACTGAGAAAGCTGAGAGTAGAGCCTAAATACAGGCATCCTGTGTGGGAGTTTCCAAAGCATTCAATTCATTAACATAAATTTACTTCCACTGAAAATTACAGTTTTAGCAACAGCTTTGAATAGGCAGATTTGGGTTATTCCAGAAAAATTCTTCAAATTCTACCTTCCTATTTTAAAATGCCTTTTTTAAGCTGGCAGGTATCAGAAGCTGTAGGTACTAAAAATAAGTTTATTTGTGTTATGTGATGCTCTGTCACTGCTGGAGCACTGACCACTCAAATGAACACAGACGGACAATTTGTCTCTATTCGATATGAGCTTTCCCAGGAAAGTTAAGGGCTTCTTACCTTCTCTCCTTTTAACTGCTTCCAGTCTGGTGAAAGCTTATGGGGTTAATCTGTAGGCAATTATTCTAATTTCAGAGTTATCATTCTTTCATTAGGGCAGAGGTGGTGAAAAAGGTACAGCAAGTAAAAATCCATTAGTAGTTAAGTTACATCTCTAAAGCATAATTGCAGCTATAGTGATATTATCTGTATGACATTCATTCCATGATATTAGCTGCATGACCATGGATCATCTTTATAATGCTTTGGTTATCTCTCTCACACACATCTATACGATTTTAAAACTAGTATATTTTTCAATATTTCTGTACAGCTGAATGAAATTATGTATGTATATGTATAAGCATAAGTATATAATTGAGAGGAAATAGAGTGTGGTTATTGAAAGCTGAGCTAAACAAAATTCTTATTAAATCAAACACCTAGACTATAAATGAAATAACATGTACATTAATGGCTCCAAATTAATAATTTGTGAAAACTGTTGAGATCTGTAGAGTAGCAGGCTCAAAAATCTGTCTGATCTATTCATAAAGGCTAAAACTTATTTCCTTTATGAAGAAACAACTTCACTGTAGTGTAATCTGAACAGAAACAATTCTCATTTCCCACAGCAGATGGACTCCAGAAATGTTAACTCTCTAAGTGCACTGATGTTGCCTGAAAGCTATCTAGATGTACAGAGGAAAGCTTTTTTCCTCTTTTATTTGCTAGTGTCCAGAAAATCTTCTGTAAAGATAAAAGAAAATTTACTAGTAAAATACCAAACTTATAAAAAGTCAATTCTAACTGTGCACTGAAGTACGAAATGCGGGCGAATTTTTCTTTTGATTCCAGTCCAGATATTTCAAGGGCCTTTTTATGTCTGCCTTCTAAAATTGAAGGTTTGCAGGGAGAACAGACACAGAGCAAGAGCTATCATTTAAGTTTACATGTCTGGCTCTCATCTTTGCCATGACTGATCTTTTGTAAACATACTTAAGATCACAGGATGTTTCATCTTTGGGCAAGGCAAGAAGGATGTCATGTCACTGCAGCACCTGAAAAAAACACTAAAAATCTGCAGATGGTTAGAAAAGGCCTTAGTGTGCCATACCTTGGTGGAGCTGTGGTAAATCTACAGCTGCTGGAGATTCATTTTGTACTTAATATTAAATATGTCAATGATGATATTAATTTTGGTCTCCCACAAAAGTAAAGATGAAACAAATAAGACTTGTTCAGTGATACACAATATCTCTTGACCTTATAGTTTTAGATGTGAACTACATGTTAAACACAAACAACGTCCTTTAAAATTTGTGGTCTGCATACTTTGAAGACACAACAAAGTCAAAGGGAATTGGTGATGTAGTTTGACCTGCATATTGATTGTGATTAGTAATAAACCAGCCACATGAAACTGTTGTTAATTATATTGTCCAAGGAATGCGATTAAAATCAGGTTTTTTTGTTTAAACACATACCCTGAGCAGAGGTATGAACAAGAAAATCCCTGGTAAGTTATTTTATGGCACTATGTTGAGAGCAATGGCAGCACATTCAGGAATTTCAGGCTTTCTTGTGAAGTCCTGTGCAAATTATTTTACTGCAAGGTAGGAGCTTTCTGATGTTAATGTTAGTTGAAGTGATACTGTCAAATAGCTGTACAGAGTGTCCAGACCCAGAGGCTCCAAGATAACATCACAGTTTAACACTAGAAGATAGTGACATTCAGTCATAACACCTTTCCCTAGTTATAGAGCATTAAGCAGAGAACAGGGTAACTGTACAAAAGAACCCACACATACCTACCACTTCTCTGACTTTTTGTGCACAAAAATGACCTTAACCCTTTGAAGTCAGTGGGAAGATTTTATTTTTTTTTTAAACTTTTTTTTCCCCCACCATGGAATTTAATGAGATCTGAATAATCGTGAGACAAGTATTTCAATTTGGTTTTTGATTGCATAATCAAATACCCACCAGTATTGACTAAATTCCAGGATGGATTCATAGCTCCACCTATAACAGTGGCACATTTCCTACTAACTGTCAAGTTTCACATTGACAGCATTAGGGCATAATTTTCATTTGCTCATTGGTCTAATTTAAGCATAGCATCCTAGATGTAGCATAATTCATATTACATGACAGTTGCCAAATTAATTTCAATAGCATTTTAGAAAATAAAAATAGAAATAATCATATTTCAGTGAAGAAAATACTATATTTTTTTATTTTTGGAGAAATTACATTTTATTATTCTTTTTCAATTCAAGAATGCTCCTTCTTGAAATGAAAACACTCCAGTAAAAGTGTGTTTCCATTTTTATTAATTTTTTTGTAACTAATTAGTATTATTAAGCATATGCAATTATTTTAAAAGGCAAATTTTGAATTATAGAACCTTACCATGACTAATATTCCGTTTAGACAGAAAGGGCTACGACACTATTTTTCATACAATATTTAAAAATAAAAGTACCTTAAGTAATGGTTCCCATGGTTAAATTTTCATATTATCTCCTTTCTCATAAAATGATCTTTTGCACTGTTTTAAGTCCCAGTTTTGCAGCTTTTTGATTTTGGTAAAAAAAAAAAACCAAACCTATTGTGTTCTGGTGAGCTTGTCACAATACAGAAATGAGGGTGAGACAATGAAATATGAGATAGTAGACACTATTTCTTAAGCTAACACTGACCCTAGAATGTTCCTTTCTTCTGACGAAGCAACTGGCAATAGCACCAGTTTTGGGCAATGCAGCATGGAGGATGAGTATGTTGACAAAGTAATTTGAAGAGAGACTCATCTGAACCAATGTAGATATATCCCTCAGAATTGTTCTAAACTCTTTTTACAGTTGAGGGAGAAAGTAATTTTTAGGATATGATTCACTTTATCCTGAAGTGCACATCTATAACAGATTAAAAACGTGTCCTACTTTCTAGCTGGGGCTTTTCTCTGCAGAAATTAGAAAGGAAAACTGGAATGAGCATCTCATGCAGCCATATATACTGTAGATGTCTAAAATGACCAAAAGAATTGCCCAATATCATAAATGCTGTGATGTCATTTATATAATGTCAGTGGATGCTTGAACATTATAAGTGTAAGGCACAAAGTTGATATAGCCCATTACTTAAAATATAAGAACCTACATGTGCTAAAACTTACAGTAAGGAATCACTATTTGTCTGGGTATTTGGTCTGAAATTTTTGGGAGCTGGTGACACCTCTGGCCTTCCATACAGAATAATGTTCAAGTTTTCTAAAAGCCAATAACAATTTTCACTTCCAAATTTTAAGAAAGTTAATTTTAAATTGATTGGTAGGTATTCCATGTTGATACTGCTAATTTTTTAGGCATCTGACATTAATTAATTCTCATAAATATTTCTGCTAATGCCCATAAAATTTATCAGAAATTACCAAACTCTGAGAAACTCAGCTTCTTATGAAGTGTGTTTACAGTGTGTGCTGTTGCATTAGCAGATTCTGGTTCTTTACTACATCCTGTTGATTTAATAACTAGTCCATATTTCTGTATTCAAGCATAAACATAGATAAAATATTTCTGTGTTAACTGTGGGTCTTAGTGAACTCTTCTTTAACTAGAACATGAAAAAAGGTCAGATTCTTTTCTCTGAAGAAAATTAATTAAAAAGAGAATGTTTTTAAACATAAGTATGTCCATTATTTATGTTACCCTTATATTAGTGTCTGAGGTTTGCTATGGGTTACATCTCACATGAAGACCTGTAAGAAGACTATATTTAAATCCTTTCCTTCAGTACCCCTAATAAGTTTTGTAGCTGTTCTACCAGCTCAAACCTTTTCCCCTTAAAATTTTTCTTTTTTCTTTCTTTTCCTTTATGCACCTGTATGCACCTGAAGCTAATTTGAGGCATTTTGTCACAGAAATGTATTCCATATGACTGCACATATGCATACAAAATCGCTAAGGGCAAATAGGTAGAGGTTGTATGGTAAGCAGAGACAACACGACATTACATGAATATTACATATGTTTGCCTTAATAAATTTTCTTGTATCTTTGGCAAATGTAGCCTCTTGTACAATTACTGTGAATTGCTATGATTTATTACAAAACCATTGCCTGAATGGAAAAAAAAGATTCTAAATTCTACATTAAAAATATATATTGAAGAGCAAAGGATGAATGAATCGCAGAACCAACCCCAAATAACTTTGTTCCTCTTTAAATGTCCTTGAAGAGGATTTCAAAGTCATGTGGATGGATGCAGTACTGTCATTTTCACAGATTTCATTTTAATTCAGGACTGTGGTTCCCGAATTCGTCCAGAGGAGTCCTGTGGCTTGCAGCCGCTGTCTCATGAATACCTCTCAGCAATTTCACAGACAGTGTTTAAGACCTGTGAAGCTGGAGACACAAAAGGTTTGTATTTAACCCTCTTTCTTCTGAAAATTAACTCATGCACCTCATCAAGGTAAAACTGGAAACAATGTTTCCTCTTTTGTATGGACAGGCGCTAACCTAAGCACAATAAACTTAACTAATAGCTTGTAATAGTTACAGATTTTCCAAAACAGGTTAATTAGTTTATGTGACATTTTTTCGTTTACTAAGTTACTAATCAGTGATCCAACAATGCTTGTGTGATTGTCATGTAGCCTTTAAAATGCCTTTAAATGTAGCCTGAAATATTTCCATCAAAACCACTTAAAATAAAAATGCTTTATTCTAAATGGAAGGGATTGTCTACTCAAAACTTAGCTTTAGAAAAACAACACAACATTTTGATCCATTTGAATTTTGTATTTCCACTTCTACATTGGAAGCACAAAAACAATTTACAACTTGAAGCAGTAAAGTATGTGTTTTTACATATATTGATACCTTAAAAAATGAGATGGACAAATCAAACATTATACAATAACCAATACAATCAAGACATCTCTTTGGTTTAGTGAGAACTCAGATTAAAACAGATTGTCAGACAGATATTCACATTTAGGTCACAGCTGCATGAAGATTTATGCAAATATACTTTAACAATTCTGAATAATCCACAGGACTACTCAGGTATGCACCCTTATTCATAGCTTAAATTGTTGCTGGATTAGACAGTAAGTAATTTTGTTCAATTCTTTATTAGAGAAATGAAAAATAACCCAACACTCCTGTATGGTCTATTAACACAACTGTATTTTTTACCTTCTCATAGATAGGAGCAGCTTCTCACAGCAGTAAATTTGCACAAACTCATGGAATAATCAATACAAAGTAAAAGGAATGTGGGAACTCCCTGAATGCATCACTTCATGTGAAACAAAGGCGTATATTAATGTTGTGTTATATGAAGGGAACGCACAAAGGAGGCATGGTGGTACATGGCAGCATATTTTAATCACACAGCAAGTTGTGAATTATAAAGAAGCACAACCCATGCTGTGCTACTATATCAGGACATAAATTTCTGACTAGAAAGCCCAAACCAAATCCACAGAAGAGTCCTGAGGCAGACTATCTCTTTCTCCTGATACATAACATGCTGCTTTTGAATACCCCATCTAGCTAAGTGAAGCTGAATATAAAATGTATTTTACAGCCTTATTGCTAATAATGTACACATTTAAAATGGAAACAAACTTCAGGAGATGTAGTCTCAAAGGACAACAGGGAAGAATAAGTTCTGCTTCTAAAGCAAAGATTGCCAAGAGCTGTCTAATGACCTAGAACTGAGGTTTGCAGTATCTGCCAACAAGTGGCTGTATAGTTTTAATGTATGTCACAACTTCCAACTGGAACTGGAAAGCATGGCTTTTTGTGGAAAATCATTCCAAATTTGTAACAACTGAATGATATCCCAGTCCTGGCAGTGAACGTTTTCCTAACACATGGGAGCAATTGCAAATTCCTAGCTAAAGCAGCAACCTCTCCTTAAATAAGTTAAATTTTCAGAGAAGCCAAGCAATGTTGTTTCCCCTCAAGAAAACTCAAAATTTCTGCAGAAGTAAGGCAGTGTCATACATTGTTCTTAGGCCAGGGAAGAGCTTAGTTGTAGATGGATACTGAGGTACTGTCACATCAAAATGTACCTGTGCTGGCAAATCTTGTGTTTGTGCAGACATAGGCAGAGGCTGAGGCAGAGCAGCAGAGACAGAGATGAAACCTTAGTTCTTCTGATGTTACTGGTAAAAGTTATAAGTCTGCTTTGCAGTTCAGTACAACCAGGAGTTCAAACTTTATTTCTAGTCCTTTGATGCAGTGCAGAGACAGTAGTTCAGGGTCTAACCAAAGGCAGAAGTAGCTGCCTCCTGTCCTAGTCACCATGGCACTATTCTTTGGAGGAAGCTCAGCACCTTACCAATGTGCATTTAATTTACACCTTTTCATTCTCTCTGGGTTGTTTGTTTTTTGGTTGTTTTTTTTTTTTTTTCCTTTTAAAATCAATACATTGTACAAATTGGAACATTCAACGGGGGAAGTTTCTCTTTTCCATCATTTGGATCATGGAATGAAATTATGATTTTTATAGCAACAAAAATCCTTTTTCCTTCAGAAAAACCCCTTTGATTCAATGGAGTTGGAACCTGTCATAGAAAAATTACTTCTCTGTTCAGTATTGCTTTATTAACAATAACACAGAAGTCAGCAAGCACTAAACATGTGTTTCGCTTCTCAGAGAGAGAAAGAATTGATAGAGACCATGAGAACCCCAAGTTGTGCTAAATTCCTGGATGTGAATTGGGCTACTGCAGTCTGTGGAAATTTTTTGTGCAGACAATTACAAAATCTGGTGGGTAAGAGGTCACAGCTTCACTTCTAGTGTTCTGCCTCGCTGCTATAACATACATATTTTAGCTGTATCCAGCTTTCCACATTTTCCACAACTGTATCCAGTTTAACATAATTCTGTACAAGCTCCCTCTTTGCATTCAACAGCTATCTGAATTTAGGTCCAGTGAAAACATAAACTAATGTTCAACTAAATGAGTGTCTCTGATTACAAAGAGTAAATTTCAGTTTGGACATAAGTTTGTAGGCCTAAGGCCATTTATTCTGCAGCATGAAAATAATGTTCTTTTAAAAATAATTTAATTTTTGTTGGTTAGAAATGCAGCTAAAAGAAAAAAAGTCTATACCCTATTCATGGAGAAATCATTTTTTAAAAGTCTCAGGATGCCAAATAGACACCAAATGTAAAAGTAAACTACTCATAAATCAACAAAGTATCTTTAGCATCAATTTAGATTAAATATTTAAATTTGGAGTTGTCAGTTTAGCATTTTTTTTCTTTTTATATAGATAATTGTTTGGCACTGTAGAAAAACTTTGATTTTGATCTTGCAAGTAAAACACGTGTATTTGTGGCTATGACAATGGGAAAGGCTGAATAAAAGAGCCTGAAAGCCTTATCCCGAAGAAAGGAAAGTATTAAATTAAGTATACAGCCTTTATTGGTTAAAACTTTTTAGCCTTAGGCTAATATTTTTTTAATACAAAGTAAGCAGTCCTAATGAATTTTTTTTAAAGTATATTTCTTTTCATACCATTTAGGAGAACAGTTTATAGGAGCACTGGCAATGTTTAATCTCGTGTCTTAAGCGGAAGATTTATGTATGCATCTGATAAACTGTTTTAATGAGACAAAAATCTAGTTTACTTTCACTCTTCCTGTGGAACCCTCTTACTTACAGGCTTTCATAAAACTTTTTTTTTACCAGTTTTTAATTTGGGGTTAAAAACCTAACAGCAGCTCTCTCTTTCTTGCTCTGTGAGTTGTGGGGAAACTTTCCCTGGAAGAGCCAATGCTAACTCTTTTAGCTGAAGCACCACAAAATGAAGGCTGATTGAAATGGTGCTGAAAGCCACATTGCATACTGCTACCTTATATAAACAGGGAAAAAACTCAATTTATAATTGCAATTAAAAAATAAACTTAGTTTCCAAACTAATATTATTTGTTTGCAGTTTCTCATAGTTAATTGTCTTCCTCTTTTACATATGAGTTTCATTATATCTTTTAATGCAATCTTATTTTTGAAGGTTAGGAATATATTGACTAACTGTTGTGAAGTTACAATAGGAAAAGTTAATAATAACTGGATTTAAAATGCATAGATTAACATGTATTATTTTTAAAATCTACATAAATATAAAACCTGCAACTACTCTATTAGCATTAAATATCAGTGCCTCCTATAATCCTAAATTTATCTCCATATATCCTTGTTCTCTCAGGTTTTTTTGCATTTGCCACTAACCTTTAGCATATGCCCCAAAAATGGATCGATTTTTTTCTTAATATACCTAGAGAGCTATTGGATATAAATCAAACACACTATTTGAAAGAAGCTTTTTAAAAGGTACTTATCACTTTCAGTTGCCAAACTTTAAACTTTTATTGTTCAGATGTTTCATCTCCTCAATATTAATTTTATATAGTTCTACTTTTTCAGTTTATTATCTAAAACCAGATCAGCTCATAAAGGCATGGAATGTTAAGAAGAAAATACCATAAAATGAAGGATCTCAATGTAGACATTGCCAGAACTTTTATGTATTCATTTTCAAAGAAAAATTACAAGGTCAGGAAAGATGTGTCCAGTTTTCATATATTTTTGGAATGCTGTTGTAGTCTGAGTCCAGACCTCAAACCAACCAACCATTCTGTCCCTGCTCTATTACTCAAAAGGCACAAAGCAATAAAAGGTGTCTGCATGGCACCCATTGCTGTGTTGCCTGAGACCTTGCACTTTCCAGTCTTTTCATATGACAGCGATGAAGCTGGGAATGACCATTTAGCCATGGATGGCAAATGGGGCGCAGAAGGAGCTAAGGGCAAGGTCCAAAGTGGCGATAGAAATTTTGAAAGTTCAAAGCATGCCTAGCCCCAGAGGTGGCCAGGAAGCCACATCCTGGAGCAAGGGACCTTAGAGCCAAGGGATGGCCAGCATGAGGAAAGGATTCACAGTGGCCCGCACTGGAAAGAAAGGGAAATAGTCTAAATTCAGCCCTTGGTTTCCCAGCTGAGCAGAGAGTGCTCTTTAACTGGAAGAGCACTCTTTGCTCCTGGTTATCCACTTTGATTGAAGTGGATTTTATCCACTTTAGATAAAAATTCACTTTAACCTCTAGATAACCCCTCTCTTCAGCCAAATAAATCACCAGGTTACAATCATACTATTTTCTCATCCTAATGAATTTTGAACTTTAAAGCAGTCCTCAGCTAATGAGAAGAGTGGGAAAAGTTATCTTTAAGGATGAACAGGAAGGTGATTAGGACACAGGTGATGCAAATCTGGAACTCCTTTGGGCAAGGAGTGTTGAGCAGCTCCATCTCTCCGCTTACACCCCAGCACCTTGGGCCTGAGCATCCCTCCCTCCTCTCCTTGTGCCACGCTGAACTGGGTTGCTTGCCCAGCGGCAGCCTTCTGGAGGCATCAGGGGAGCCAGGTTATGCTCACTGAGCCACCCTGTGGTAAAGTCAGTGTCCAGGCTTTTGTTTAGGTCCAGTCTGCCATTACTTGCTCTACATCATCTGCAAGTGCAGCTGAGGGTGGGGTGAACCTCCTCTGCACAGGCAGGAAGGAGTGGCAGCTGTGCAGGCTGCACAGCAGCAGGAGCTGGGTGGTCGTAGCACCATGGGACATAGTCCACCCTTAGATGTACCAGTGCAGGCTTCCATACAGACAATTCTTGGTGTTTTTATTTAGAAAGACTTTTTTTATCTGCTAAGATAACTCACCCTGCTACTTACCAAAACATATTCACTTGGGACTTTTGCTTAGGCTGCGTTCCTGACAACTCCCTTGCTCCTGGGGTGGCAGCTGTCTCTCCCATGGATTCCACACAGCCTCCCACTCAGTCCCTGGCCTGATACATGTTGACAGGCAGCAGCCTTGGTTTTTTGCTGTGGCTTGTTTTGTAGCAGCAATCTCTCACACACAGCAAAGCACACCCAGCTGGCTGCTGAGCTGCTGCCCAGTAGTAGTGGCGGTCACAAACTCTAACGCCAGATCAACTCTGCAAACATTTGCTTTTGGAGCTGTTTGCTGGGCTGCAATGAGAAACCCAACTGCACTAGCAATGCCTGACAGCATTGACACAAGGACCTGGAGGCCTCTGACTTTTTTCTTGTGTAACGCCTTTAAACAGATGAAAAAGCAGGTTTTGCTGGTAGAGCTATGCAGACACTGGGAGATACTGTCAGGATGGTGCACTTGTATGGGTGAGAAAAGTGTTGATCTGAATATAAAAGCAACTCAAAAGTTTTCTGTCTTCCTTCAGAAGCTAAATATACCTCTGAATTCCTGTAGGATTTTGGAAATTAATAGCTTTACAGAACAAAAGTAACAGAACCACTCAACCTTTGGTTAGAGATGCCTAAAACTCACTGAATTTTTGTAATCCCTCTTTATGCTCCAAATCTGTAAAATCATTTTTGAAAGTAGGGATCAGGTTCTAATAAATCACATAGATTATTAATCTCATCTTACTTTCACCTTCTGAAATGCATATGTGTAGTCTTGGATGGTTGTCTGAACTCTCACAAATTAAAGAAATTAGTATTCCTGAGGGAAAGTCATCCTTTCATTATCTGCACATTATCTGTATAATCTTAGATTCATTTTTGTATCACAGGGCTCTCAAAATCTAGCTTCAATCAACTACCTAACTTTTAGATGTTTAGTGGTAGATAAGAATGAATCTTGTCTTCAGACACTTCTGAGTGTGAATATTTTCGCTTGCCAATCAGCCTTCTCCCTCGCTTTCCCTTTCTGTTATAATTTCCATGGAGAAAGGACAAGCTGCTACATGAAAGTCAATGTGAACTGAGAAATGAACCCACATACGACTGTCAAATTTGGACATTTGGAACTCTTTCATAGAAAGGAAAAACTCCTATCCTTGCTAAATGAAAAGGGCATTAACACAGAGGAAGGAAATAGTCTCTTCAAAGGGTTCAGGGGCATTTAATTTAGGGAAAATTTCCATGAAAAAATACTCAAAAATATCTCATTTGCTGTATAATAAGGCTACTCAAAAAAATCTAGAGGAGTTGCTGACATCCCATTACTGTTTTCCAGGGCAGTGGATTGTCCCTTGCCTCAGCTGCTCTGACAACAGGACCTGTGACTGGAGAGAAATAACGTGGCAGCCTTTTTTCGGCTGCCGATACTCTGTGCTTGCCAAGCCTGAGCTCCAGCGCTGTGTGGAGGGCAGAAGGGTATGTAACAGATTTTACACTTTAATTTGTTTTTTTTCATCTGGATATTTAGTGTCCTGAAGCCTTAAAAATAATTTTATGATTGATGTGTAAGAAAAATCCCTTTTTATTATAATTGGAAAAATATATGGATGGAAAATCCACAGGGGCAAAACCCAACTTTTATCCATCATTTAGCCTCATATGCAGTCACAGTTGTCTGATGTAATTTCACATGGAGCTTAGGTCACACCAGTGGAGTTTTAAGATGTATAGTGTACGTGGTTTCCAGTTAGACCTGCAGTGAGTATATAAAGAACTGTAAATGGAGGATGGATTTACATTGTTGTCACAGTTTGTCTTACACTTGACATGGAAATTGGGTTTCTTCTGCTGCATACCTGTTGCATGGCATTGCTTGTGCACACTAATCTTACCGAGTCTTCTTGCACATTCTTTTCTTGTAGTGAAGCTTCTAAGGTGATTGCTTGGAAATACAAGGTCTCCTTAATAAGCATGCTATGACTGTAAAACTGTTGAGAGAGCTCTGATCTAAGGCTCAGGTACCTTACTGAGGAAACAAGTATCCAGAAAGTAAGTAATAAATTGTTATAAAGATTTTTATAGTGTATTGTCTAGGTAAGAAAACAGTAACTAAAAGTGGCATTTTGATAAAATCCGAGGGCATTTCTAAACAAATACAAAATAATAGTCTTTCCTTTAACATTTCTTCTTTTTTTCTGGTTATTTCTTGTCCTGCACAAAGTCCTTTGTTACCATTTGGCTTTATTTGTGCCTGTGGTTTTCTCCATTACTATAGAGCTGTGGCTTTCTCCTGACGTCTTTTTCTAAAAAATCCGTAGTTTTTTATGACAGAGAAGCAGCTTGATTTATTCCTCATGTACAAAACAAGAACTCCTGGTTGACCACAGGAAAAAATATTGAAGAATTTGATAGCTTTGCTTTGATCTGTAATTTCCATAGATATCAGGCTGCTTCAATAAGCAAACATCCTTTGGACAGACAGTTGAAGGACAGCATAGGAACAATATGTCGCTATGGAAGTGGATTGCCAGGGTATTGCTGACATTTCCACCTCCTGAATGTGACCCCTCACATTCACCAGTGTCAAAACAGGACTACATTTGCTAAGGGTCCATTAAAACCAAGTATATTAAATTAATGTTTGTGAGCTTGCTTTCTTAATTCAAATATCGTTATGTTCTGACTCTCTGAGGTCACTGATCTATTCTAGTGCCAGATGAGAGCCATATCCTATGTGATCCACATTAACACCTTGCAAGAAAAATCTCTGTAAAACTAATTGCACTTGTTTCCCATTCTTCATCTTTTGCAAAAGTCTTCCGTCATTGTCTGATAACCTTCACTGCTCTGTAGAAATCTGCTGGATCACTCCTGTTACCGTTGCATAGATGTCTATTTAACTGGTTTATTCTTCTAAAGTCATGACTCTAGTGCATGTTCCCCTTTTGGTATACTTCTCCGATGTCTTTCCCTCTGATGTTATTTTTGTTATCACTTTGCAGTGGTATTAACTTTCTGTGGCATTTTGCAGTAGCATTTTTGCTTCTTTCACCAAATGAATAAATGTAGAGCCTGGATCAACTCCCTAGTGTCAGTAGAACTTAAGAACGAAGAGAGTCTTTCTTCTTATGTAAGTCAGATGAGTAAAATGGTCCTCAACTTGGGTCATAAGGTGCTGATTCTTCTGTCTGTGATTAAGGCAAACTTTAGAATTACTTTACACAGTCTAAGCAGTGTAATAGAAAAAGGGGGGGCGGGGGGGGAGGGTTCAGTTGTAACTGAAAGAATTTTCCCTGGCAGTTGTATTATTATACTATTATATACGTTCAAGCAATCTGGATTTTTATAAGGAAGCTATTGAAGAGACAGTAAGATATATTGTTTGAGAACAAATATGTTTTTATTATACAAGAGATTTTTGTAACCATCTATAAATATTTATATTTCCTATTTTTTATATTAGTTTAAAACCATTATATACCTTGTCTTGAAGCACTACAGAGATCACTGACCTCTACCCAAACCAACAACATCATAGTTTCTGTAGTAAAATAAACAGAAGGTTTCAACACTGGAAATGCAAGCAGATTGCCAAGAGAGAATGAGTGCAAACCATAAGGGCAAAAGTCATCAACCCAAGTGAGGACACTGAGATGATCTAGAATACTGTTTGATTTATGTGGTCATTTGCTGAGGTTCATTAAGAACAACAACTCACTCGTGCCCACTTCACTTCTCAAAATGTACTCAACTAGCCTGTGTGCCCCTGCATTCTGGGGTTTTGTAGGATGCCACCACACTTAGCATATTCAACTTGTGTGACTTCAGTTTCTGGAGTTCCAAAATCCCTTAGAAAGGAGTCAGGTATCTTGATCGACATTTTGCAGCATCAGAGGCAAAATCGATCCCTCAGAACTGGAAGTAACCATGAGCTCTTCCAACCCCAGCCCTGTTTTCTTACCTGCAGACCACACAGCATCTGAATTCTTGCCCAAAGTTTATTCTGAATTAAGGTGATAAAACCTCCATATACTCTACATAATTACCAATCCTTCCTCAGAAAAGCAAAGATATGCACATCTATAGTATCACTGGGTCAAATGATGTCATACCTTCCATCAAAATACTAGCAACACTCTGTGACTAAATTTATTTTCTGAATACCCTTCATAAAAAGTCAGAGTAATGCAAGATTTGACCAGGAATCAATGTAAAGCAAGTAGTGGCATTTGTGATTCACTAGACTGAAGTCTCCAATTTTTGTCCTGGGAAAAAAATAATTTGGTTTCAGGATTCTGACCTGCTGGCTTTACTTCTTGTGGTTAACATGTCATGATAAGACATTACAAACAACATAAGTGTCTGTGTTTATGTCTTTTCTTTTAAATAGGAGGTGTTAATCACCATGCTGCTGCCAAATTCCAAGTATGATAACTGCAGGCTGTTTTCTCGTAATCCCCTGTTAGTTTTATATGGGGAAAAAAAAAGGAAAAAAAAACCCCTACTTGTCTTTCTACTTCTAATGAATGCAAAGTATGCAATGAGTTAACCACTGCTGTGCTGTGTCCAGGGTCTGGGTGCACTGCAGCAACTGATGAAACAAGACGTACAGTGTAATGCTCTTTCTTGCTGAAGTGCAGCACACGTAAAATCAACTGTATGTTGATTCTTCCAGTTGATTCAGATCATCATTAACTGCTATTTTAATTTGTGTGCATATAAAACTGTGTTTGAGCTAATTTTTTCTGTTTCATAAAAACTTAAGACCACCTGCAGTGAAACAATAACACTCAGATTGGTGGAGACACGAGAAGGGATATACAGCCACAAAAACAGTTTATGAGACCTTATTTTGCTTTATGATGTGTTAGCAAGACCAATCAGTCATATGCTTGCATTTCAGACACAGTAAACAGGAAAATTTTGAAGTTTTGAGACTAAAATGATGCCGAGTAGATTTTCATTCAGTCACCTTTTAATATCTGCGGTCATTTTTCTCATCTGTTTTAAACTCTAACTAAGGGTAACAAGATGCAGGCTGTGTTGTTCTCAGGGAACTTCACATGTGTGCCTTAATTAAATTAAAGAAATAGGCGATCATAATAAAAATATGTTATCTGTATTATATTGGCTCAACAAAATCCTTTGTAACTGTGGTTAATGAGTTTTTACTGTAAGATTTATACAATTCTATTAAGACATGATGCTTTAAATTTTGTACAAGAACTTTAAAAAACACGTGAAGGAAAAGAGGTTCTAACAGGTAATTATTTATCCAATTAGAAGCATATAGAAAGATGGCCTCAATACCAAGGGGTATATGTATTTTGTTTATCATTGAGAAATACTACTCAGAGTTTAGTCTTATAATAAAGTACCATTGAGTCATGTGTAATTAAGAACAGGAAATATGAAAAGGCAATATTTGCTGAAGTACTTAAAATTCAGCTGTTAAAACAGGAATTTTAACTTACAATTTCTTAATAATATTTTAGAGTTAAGTAGTATTTTGGACATACAGGTGTTTAAATTTCCTAAGTGTGGTTAATTTATAATGATAGGTCTGGTTAAGAAGTGAATTCCACTATGCTTACACAATCTTTTAAAGCCTGTAAGCTACAATGGAATTTTTCACACAAAATGATTGCAACAGAAGACACTGAAAACATCTGTCCGCATGAAAGTGTTGTTCTTTGTCTGGTAAAATTATAGCCTTATATACTTTTGATCCTTTAGTCACCCTGCAGACAAATCTCCTACTGACTTGAACAGTACATTATTAAGCCTTGTGCCAGACCATAAAGAAAATGAGATATGACATATTCTATACACCTGAGCCATCATTTTGCTCATTATTATTGTAGAGCTAAATACAAAATCACCCCTAGAGCCCCTGGTTCAAATCATATTAAAAACCACATGGCACACACAACTACATTAAATTCATGCAACTGTATGGAAATAAATGTGGCCATAGCTACCACACATTCAATTACATTGAATAATTATTATTCTAATTAATTTAAACTCTTGATTTAGTTGGAGGAGATAAGTATTCTTCCTGGGACTATACACCACTTACTTTAGCCTTTGAGTCTTCCAAGCATTTTCTGTAAATGAAGCTGACTTGCAAAAGGTGGATGCTTTGAAAGATGCTTTGTGATGGTCTGCATACAACAACAAAATGTGCTTAACAGCTCTGCACAAGGGCAGTTTGAAAAGCTACTTTTCATGTAGGTTTTCTGATAAATGTCCTCTTCTTTCATTTGGATTTTTTTTATGGAGAAGAAGAAGATGAATTTGTTTGTTTTTCCAGGATTTACACATCTCATAGCATGGTTGGACCAATAGTTAGAAGCAGACAGGTCTTAATGATGGATGCTCCGTATGTGCAGATTTGCTGGTGCTATGCATCCACCAGCTTGGGATACATTCAGTTACAAGGAACGCACACAGACTTCTTGACTGAAAGCTAATATGCTTGTTATAATTGACTGACATCTTTGAGGATAACCTACACTTTTGATCTGCGTTTCTGTATAACTGCAAGTCCACTTTGCCTCATTTCTCTCTTCCCCAATCACATCAAGTCTTGACTATTCTCCTAACAGATTTGTTTCTGAGTGTTCAGGTTGATTTCCCTAGTGAAACAACCTGTGTTCCTCACCAATGTTGCCATCTGTCTCAGTCCTGACTCCTCCTGCTCAGCCACACCTTCTCCTAGGAGTAGGTATACATTCCCAGATGGACACCCAGACACTCAATAGCATTAGCTGTCTGGTCTAATTTCCTGACCTGCTTTACATCCTCATAACAAGCTCACTTAAGAGTGAAAATGGTGATGTTCTGCAACTCAGACCTTATTCCTTCAGAGAAGGATTGTGTGCAGTCTTGTCAGTCTTGTGATAACATTTCACAGAATCACAGAATTACCTAGATTGGAAAAGACCTTTAAGATCATTGAGTCCAGTCACTAACCTAACACTGACAAGTCCCCAACTAAACCATGTCCCTCAGCACTATGTCTAGATGATTCTTAAATACCTCCAGGGTTGAGGACTTTTACCACTGCCCTGGGCAACTCATTACAATGCCTGATAACCCTTTTAGTAAAGATTTTTTTCCTAATATCCAGTCTAAACTTCCCTTGGCGCAACTTGAGGCTATTTCCTCTTGTCCTATCACTTGTTACTTGCCTGAACAGCCTGAACACAAACCGTCTCTCTACGCTCTCCTTTCAGGTAGTTATACAGAGTGATAAGGTCTCCCCAGATCCTGCTTTTCTCCAGGCTAAACCAACCCCAGTTCTCTCAGCCGCTCCTCATAAGACATATTGGAATAAGTATGTCTGAGTCCTAACAGTCATACTGACTGCTCTAAAGGAATCTGCTTTGACACCTGACACTGCCTCCAGGTTCTTAGAATATCAGGACAACAGTAGTAGTATTCTAAGTCCCACCTGATATTTTCATATTGTGCCCAGCATCATGGCATTTATGGACTAGAACTGCCACTTTAAGACCTGATTGTACCTAACTTCCCTCTTCTGGTACTGTTTTTCTAAATGACCTTGGATAATTCTCTCTCATCTGCAGACCTGGCCAGCTAGGTATCCCAAAGCAGACTCGAAACTCATTCATGGATCCACTGCTTTTGTGTGTGTGTGCGTGTGTAGGTGTAGGAATTGAAAAGCTCTACAATGCTAAGATATTTAATAGTGTAAATTGGGGAGGCGGGGGGATGTTTTGCTCTAATTTTGACATAATGAAAAAACGGGAGAAAGACTAATGAGTCAATCTCAGTCTGATGTTCTGTAATGTTTGAGACTTTGGAAATATTTAGAATGACACTTCACAAATTGCTAGAGAATGCACAGCGTTGACAAAACAAGACATCCGTGCATCATGTTCATTGGCCTTGGCCATGGTTCTTCTCTCCTTTTTTTCCATGAAGGCTGCTGTTCTGCTCTTTGAATTCAGTGGTCGATGAGATTAGACCAAATACAATTAGAAGGAGAAAATATCTATCAGAATCTTAGTCACAGTAGAACGAAGAGTGAGATTAAAATGTCACATCTGCCAAATCAGTGTAATTAACAGCTGAATATGCCTTTGCAATTAGAAATCCCCATGTGCTGTGATAACAAAATGGTATTATATGTTATTAGAAGAGAAACAATCTAGCATGTTCTACCAACTGTGTGTGTAATGTGGTAGAGCCTGTTTGTTATTCTACTAATGACGTTCTGTGTTCTTACAGAAATGTTCTCAGCCACATTGCAAGTTAATGATATCCTTGCCTGCTAATATCTGAGAACTGCTTTTTAAGTAGATATACATCTAGATACCACAGTGATGGATTTATGAAATGGAGATTAAAGAGACATATATAGACAGACTGGAGAGGTTCAGAGATTTTGCAAGTTAAAATAATTGTTGTTTAAAACCTCAAGTTAACCTACTTTAGAATTAGGTCATATTGTAAGCATGGACTCTCTTCCTAATTGTACATAATTATGTGCATGTTTGTGTCTGTCAGAGAGGGAAAAAGAGAATACCAACCAGTCCTTCCAAGGATCTTTGACTTCTGTGACTCATGTTACACTTGGTTGAAAGAAGTTTCTTCTGACACAATGTGAAAAGAGTTGGAAATCCCCTTGCATGTAAGAGAAGTGCTTGTGCAGTCCAAGCATGAGCAACAGCTGTTTAACAATTTATTCTATGAAGCAGCTTTGAGAGGTGCAGGACAGGAGGTAAAAGAGCCTCTGTGTGCTCAGTGCTTACTTTAATTTGTTTTCTACCATCCATAATCTATCAAGGGCATCTTTGTAGCCCACAATGAGCAAGGCATGGGACGTTAAAGTCATTGTCATGCCCATTCTTAGCTCTTGCACTATATCAGGGAATGTTTATCTGAAATTACTTCTGTTCTGTGGGAACTGTCATTGGTACACTGTTGTGGCTTATTTTTACTCACAATAGGTTCATAATGGGAACTGGAATTAGTCCCTAAAACTGTGACCGTCCTGAAGGGAAGACATAAATAGAGATGCATTAGATGAAAGAAGTCTAAGATGCTTTCACCACAGAAAATCTCTAAGAGAAGCTTTAGAAATGTATTCTTAAACATGTAAGCTTGTGCAGTCTAAATTCTATTTGCATAACCAAATGTTCAAGGTGGAAGTGGTAAAGCATCAAATCCCAAACCAAATTTAAAAAACCCAAACAACAAAATCCCAACTTAGAGGGTGCCAGCTACCCTGACTGAAACTATCACACAGAGGAGGTAGGAGAAGTTGCATACTGCTGTGCAAAGAACAGGGCTGTTACTGTTACTAGTTCTGTGGGGTTTCTGACTCCCAGTTTTACATTTATACTCCTCTATGTGGATTTCTGGCTGAGGTGACTGTGGTAATAATTGATTACGCACACAGTTTCATTGGCAAACCGCAGTGAACCTGGGTTCCCTTCCCCTTTGGACTCTTGTCACAGCTTACATGTTCTCTTAAGCAGGAGGAAATACTAGTCCTATCCAGTAAAAATAGGGCAATCACATTAAAAAACCCCACAAGTTAAGTTCTGTGGTCTCCACATACGGAGATGTTTGATTTCTCAGGGGAGTATACAGAATGAGTAGGAGCAAGCCCAAATTCGAATTCTTCATTCATTTGCAAGTTCAGAGCAGCCCAGCAAAGATGACTGACTTCAAGTACTTCTCCCATCCTGACAGCACTTCTAACTCCCTTCGGGCTACAGTGCTTCTTGGTGGTCACCTCACACTTGCGAGGACTCTATTCAAATTATCTGCCACCAAAGTAACCTCCTCCTTTTTTTCCCTCTGAAATGGCAGAATGATCATCTCTACAAATAAGGCAGCAGCTGCATTAATTGATGTGTATGTGTGTGTGTTACTTTGGTGTAAATTCTAATGAATCACATTTATGGAAGAAAAACATTAAACAAGATATGTTGTCTAGGAACAAACCACATGAAAAACTGGAGGAAGGAAAGCAGGAAGCTGCAAGCAATCACAAGAGGCTCTGTACTAGCAATTGGAAGTAACTATAAGCTTAAACAAAAGAAATTATCAACAAGGGTGAAAAATGCAGGACTAACTGTGCAGCTATAGCCATCTGTAACCAATACTTTTTGCTTTTGAAACACATAATATTGCTTTTTGTTAATCAGATCACACAGATTTTGCTAAAGGAGAACTTTAGTGCTCAGATGTCAGGACTGTAGAACTGGCAGCTCACAAAGATATTTCTTGAACATTATGAGAAGGGTTTAAAAACCTCCAGAATAGCTGTATTATTTTCTTAGCTTTTGGGTTTTGGAGTGTATGACTTCTAAGTAAGTAATATCTTTTTTTCCATCCAAAGATTCTTTTTATAGGTGACTCAACTAACAGAGGGATGATGTACTATCTAATAGAAAGAGCAAATAAGACTCTTCAGGAATGGCAAAAGACTCATGATGTTAAATGTTATCATAATATCAATGAGGGGAAAACATTTATTAGTTACTCCTACTACCCCCAGTTTTGGATGAACGCAAACCAGAGACCAACTTTTGAGAAAGCACTAGAACAACTGCTGCAGAGGTACTGTACAAATTCTATTGCTGACTTGTTTGTATTTTCATTCTATTTGAAAATGTGTTTAACATTTTACAATTAAAAGCAGTAAACAATTAAATATAATGTGTGCAGACCGCATTGTATGGTTGAAAAACAGTAGAAAATTACATCAGGGCTCTGATCAGGATGCCAGATACAGTTCACTGAAATGCAATGCAATGTAGTTAAAATGTTTGCCATCTGTTTTAAGGCAACATGTTGTTTTTTCCTTTCTGGGTTTCAGATCACGTCCCCTGGAGAACACAGACCAGACCGTATTAATTGTAGGTGGCGTTCAGTGGCTTAATTCCAATCACCTGCAAATTATCCAAAAGGTGTTGAACAGGTAATGTTAAGTGCTTGGTGTTATTTCAAGTCTTGATATGATAAATTATGAGAAGCAACTTAAATAAAAATTTTAAATACAAACATTTTATCTGTGTTCTCATGGGTGTATACTTAACTGCCTTTGAAAAAAATAAAAACCAAGTGTTTTTTTGATGTGTCTGTCAAGTAAAATGTGTATCCTTTCTTTTTTTTTTTTAATTTTATTTGCCAAACAGGGAAAATCTGTCAAATATCCTGGTAATTATCAAATCCATAGGGATGGGTTTTCACCTCCCAGTGGATGGAATACATTCTCTATCGCAGGTAAGCTATAGTATATTTAAAGTTAATTTTCACAGAAGACGTCATTTCAGCAATAATTTTGCTGTCTGGTCAAAATACATTACAACCTCTGCTGAGCAAGCTTTAAGTGGATCAAAGAAAGAATAATGTTTGTATTTCTCATATGGCTTGCTGATGTGGATTCAAACCACTTCACCTTATTTCATGGATTCTGACACAATCAGAGCACCATTTGAGATGCCGCAGTTGGTCAGCCATCCCAGGAACCAGAAGAAGCTCCCATATTAAGCCTGCTGCCAAAGTTGAAAACCAAGCTGAGGATAGGCAGATTGCGCCTTGTACCATGTCAAGCACAGGCAGTCCCCGGGCTTCCTCCATGATTACTTCTGGATCAGATTCACTGGTCTGGCTGCATTGCATGGCTCTCCATAAATCTTAACCAACCTATGAAGAACATTACAGAGCAGCTGGAATGTACCAGTAAATCTAACCTGTTATTTATATGTTAATCGTCTGTTACAGTCAGTTTAAATCGTGTCCAAGACTCAGAGTAACAGATGGGCTGATTTCAATGTGCTGTGTAACTCATTCAGTTCAATATTTTTTTTACAATTCGGATGGTTGTTCTCTATTGAGCACATATAAAATGCCTGGATGAGGTGGGGCTGGGAAGCACCAGAGGGCAGAACGGAGTAGATGATGCCTACCAGCATTATGTGTAACATTCCAGCTATTCACGGGTGTTGAAAAGAGAAAATTATTAGCTTTCATAGTTTACGTACAGCCCTCCTATCACACTGAGGACTGGAGCCCACGTCTTTTTGCAACCGTGACACACTGCTGTATTCAGTGTGTGACTTACTGTTTCTCTCACCCTGCTTTCTACTACGGAGACCACCCTGTCAGATGTTGCCCATTCTTTCTTTCTAAGTTAATACTATCTGCCTTGTCTCTATTGAATGTCTTCTTATTGATTCCAACCATTTAGTCTCTTCTCTCAAGTAAGCAGTGATAGGACAAGAGGAAATGGCCTCAACTTGCACCAGGGGAGGTTCAGATTGGATATTAGGAAAAATTTCTTTACTGAAAGAGTTGTCAAGATTGGAACAGGCTGCCCAGGGAAGTGGTGGAGTCACCATCCCTGAAGGTGTTCAAAAAACATGTAGAGATGGCACGTCAGGACATGGTTTAGTGGGCATGGTGGTGTTGGACTGATGACTGAACTTGATGATCTTGGAGGTCTTTTCCAACCTTAATTATTCTATGAAATTCCATGGAATTTCCTTTATTTATCCAGATTATCAGATTAGGATACAGTAGGGAAATGGTTGGACTCAACCACTGAGATGATGAAGAAACATTGTTGTAGCTCCTACTATAGCTTTCAGGGGCGATCAGTCCTAGGAGGAAGAAGCAGAATTTGCAGGTGAGGCAAGGACAGAAAGAGTATTAAAGGCTTCCCAGGACTGCTTTTTTCTGTTTCTCATCCAGTAGTTTATAAAACTCCAAAAATGAACTACAGTGCGTAACCGACATTCTTTTCCCTTTCATTATTGGAATCATATGGCAAATTACCCATGTGGTTTGGGTGCTTTTCTGGATTATTCCAGCTACTCTCAAAAACCTTCTGTCTTCAGTGTCTAATCCACCACCTCGATAAATTTATGGCTAACCTTTTTTCTATTCCTGGCTTTCCTGCAGTACCTTGAAACATAATAATCTGTCCTCCAGTGTAACCATTTCTAAGATACCCATGGTCCTATACTCCTTTTTAAGCAACAGTTTCAATGATTTTGATCTGAAGCTGAATTTTTCTTTAACAGGAACAAATTCACTATTTGTTACAGACAACTTTATAATACAATTTTTTTTCTGAATTACACCTCATTTAGCTAAGTATGTTTAAAACAATTACTCAGTAAATACATATTAAATATTGAATTCTTTCTATGAAAGAAGCTGCACAACTATTGAGAAGTAATTATAGTTACTGCTAACTTGAATTTTAGTTCAGATGTTATTGAAATAAACCTGATATGTGTAATTAAGGGAAATTTTTTTCAGATTTTCTTATAACTGCTTTCATCCTGCAAAACTCATTCTAATAAAGTTTTACAATAATCTACATCAGTCTTGGTGTAATAGCTACTTTCAGGAGTGAATTTATAGCAGTTCATATCTAGAGTATAACATAATTGCTTTATTCAAAATGCAATTTTGCTATTCATTTAAATGACAAAATAAAATAACCTTTAAACAGTCCTTCTGACAAGACATTTCAATGTTTTATCTGGAATGCAGGCAGAAGTGCAAAACTTGTGGAATGAAAACTTGGCTATTCTGGATACAGCAAAAAATTTCGGCTATGAAGTTGTTGACACTTTTGTCATCACCATGGGACGTTACAAAGAATTCCTGCAAGGGAAGTGTGGCTGCCATTTCCATGAGGTAATAGTTTACAGTCATATCAATCCCAGGTATTTAAGAGATATTTTTAACTGTCAGGTGCTTAGAAATAAAAAGGTGTGCAACGAGGTTTGCATCCATGACTCAAAATTAAGCCTGAGTAAAAACCATGGAGATAGCAGTTTGTTAGGTGGAAGTTGTCCCCTGCCGCTCAGAGCACAGCACCACCTGAGGATGGGCTGAGCTGTAGTGGTCATTCCTTGAAATAAAACCAAGCAAGTTGTTCTGCAAAGGTCACCTGTATAAAAGGATGTTATATAGTTTCCAGGTTCTGATATTATTTGCTGTGCATTCTATATCCCTACTGCTTCTGCATGGACTCAGTTTATCTTTTTGCCATGCCTCATTCTCACAGGTTTCTTTCTGAAGCCTTCCTAAATGAGCAGCTCAGCAGACTCCCATCAAGAGATAGGTATAATTAAAATGGATCTTAAAATTGAAAAATCAATCTTACTGCTGTATATTTGTTTTTCATATGTCTGAGAAAGATTTATCTGGGATAGTTATAGTGACTGACTATACAAACAGAATTAGAAGTCACTTGTTCTCACTCATGCCCATAGTTCTGTTTTCTTTTTTGTCTGAAACCTACAGAAATTCTGTCTTCAGCTTTATAACTGCTGGACTAGTGCAACAGGGATATGGTAAAACATATGATTAGGGCAATTGAGAACATATTCTTCTGTTCATTCAAAGTTCTGGCAAGAAATCTTCACATTATATTATAAATGACAGGAGTCCATGGATTAAATCAAGAACGAATAAGCAAAAACATTATTATATCTAGGCACAAAATCAGCCCAAAGGCTGCCAAACCAGTGAAAGTAGAGAGTTTGAAAAACAAGATATTTAAAGTTTTTCTGGTTTCCTTTAAGATGTATTTTGAGTATGTGGTATGTCTTTTTATAGTGAGTGCTCTTCCCCATCAGCAAAGGAGGAATCTGTTTTAGTTTTAGACTTCTTGTACCTTATCTATAGCAAATGAAGAACTACATTCCTGGTTTAGTGCAGATGACTCTCAATGAAAACAGAGAGTATAATTTTTGAGTAGTCAAGTAAGCAGATACCCTCTGCCCTATGGCTGATGACAGTAATTTTGCATATGATAAAGAACCATCACCAAGGCCACCAGACTACTCCTGTAGCTTCCAACCAAGTCATAGAATCATAGAATGGTTTGGATTGAAAGGGACCTTAAGGATCATCTAGTTCCAATCCCCCTGCCATCAGCAGGGACACCTGAACATGAGCAGACAATGTGTGCTTGCAGCCCAGAAGGCCAACCGTATCCTGGGCTGCATCAAGAGAAGCGTGTCCAGCAGGTCGAGGGAGGTGATTCTGCCCCTCTACTCCGCTCTTGTAAGGCCCCACCTGGAGTACTGCATCCAGTTCTGGAGCCCCCAACATAAGAAAGACATGGACCAGTTAGAACAAGTCCAGAGAAGGGCCACCAGGATGATCCGAGGGCTGGAGCACCTCTCCTATGAAGACAGGCTGAGAGAGTTGGACCTGTTCAGCCTGGAAAAGAGAAGGCTCCGGGGTGATCTTCTAGCAGCCTTCCAATACCTGAAGGGGGCCTACAAGAAAGCTGGGGAAGGACTTTTCATAAGGACAACTAATGACCTTCCTCATACTCATGTCCTTCCTCATAGTCATGTCACCAATTAGTTGGTATGAAAGGCCAGTTCTCAGGTTCCTGTTATGGATGGTCAGTCTGCTGAGAATCCAAACATGTCATTCATTGCCCTAAAGAGGACCCATGGATATTACATTTCTCCCTTTGGAAACCAGAAAAAGCTTTGAGAAATAAATGAGGTTGATATCTTTCTAGGTGTTTAGATCCTGATTCCCAGTAAAAAATATTTCTTCAGAGAAAACTGGAATTGTACACTCAAATATCATCAGTAACCCTGAGCCTCCATTCATTGCTGGATATAATGACACAGAAGCCTTCTGCTACCTCTATAGATAAAGTCATGTTTAGCACAGTAAGAAATTGCCTGTGATGCTACAAGTTCTTATGAACCAAATCTAGATTGTCTGTTTAACAAAAGACTAGGAAACTACTCCAATTTATTCCATTAAAATCTGTTTAGGACCATAAAACTTGAACTATCATATCTTTCAGGAAGATGGTATTTCCTCTGCATGATCAAAAGAGAGATAACAGGTGCAAGTTCTTTCATAGAGTGAAATATAAAATGAGAAGAAATTGTTACCAAAAAGTTAAAACTGGAGGAAAAAAAGGATGCAATGAAAGATGTGTATTTGAAACCAAGAATTAATGAATTTATGGTGTTTCATAGTCAGCTGGGACCTTTGAGACAGTAAGAAGCTACTAGTTGGATGAAATCTCAAGAGTTTGGTTGAGAATAATGACATAAGCAATTTAATGTGTCATTTAGAAGACAGAACTCTGCACGTTAATTCTTATGGAGAGAATCCTTTTTTAATTAGAATTATCAAAAGTGCATAAATATAAAAAAATACTATCAACCACACAAGTGAAATGCTAGCGTTTTTCCAGCATGAATTTAGGAATTTGTTTTCTGTCAAAACAAATTACTTCAAATAAGAGAGATGATCACCAAATGTTTTCTGAATCTCTCAAGAGAAGGATAAAACTCCTTTGCTTATTTTGCCAAATGAAGTCTATTTTTCTGTAAGCCTCAGACTGTTCCCAGGACCTGGACATATGCAGGGCTAGCACAGAAGCTCTGTGAAGCTT